GAGCTTCTATTCTCCACCTGAGCCAGAAGGTGAGGAGCAGGAAGGATGTCGGGATGAAACAGCATGATTGCTTCTCTGTTCTTCTTGGCCAGCCCTTCCCGTATCTGTATGTTTTTGTCCAGTCTTAGGACACAGGGTACGCTTTGGAAGACATAATTATACTTCACTGTAAACTCCTCTGTCAACTAGGTCAAATATTAAATATTTGATTCTATCTGTATGTCTACACTCTTAGGCAAACACCCCCTATATTCATGGGCGCAAGTATCTGTGAAGATATGAGTATAGTGTGGACATAAAAATATTTATTATGCTTGTCTTTGTCCTGTCCTAATATTCCTGAAGTCCTTGGCAGGTAAGCCTGTCTGTCCCCTAGCAGATGCCCCCTGGGAGCCGGCAATAGGGGCATTAATGTCATGTCCACACCTAAATGCAGAGCTGTGTGCCCTCTGACAGCAGAAAACTGGTTAATTCTCCTCAGCCTCTGCTGACAAAGAGATAACTACAATACAGACAATATCTGGCCTTTTAAAACCTTCGGTTAGTCACAGAGATTATTTTGGCTCAAGTTAAATATCTGACTTCCAAATTTATATTGTCCCCGAGGGAAGAAATAAACAAAGTGAGGCAAGTGAATTCACAAGCAACACAGACGGCAGTGTTTTGGATCAATAAGGACCCTGCAGCCAGATGGGGAAATTCAAATCGCAGAGAGAAAAGCTTTGAATTGCACAACAGGCTTGCAAACAGAAAATATTTATTTCTGCGCCTCTGGTTTCCAGTCGCCTTCCCTTCAGAACATTAATTTACACCTGCTTCACTGGATGGAGACGTGACAATTACAGAGGAAAACGAAGCCATTAAAAAGTCCACAAAACTGGGGGAAACAAAAAAGTCATCAGCACAAATAAAAATAATTCATAGAGACAGTGCTTGTTCTCATTCCTCTCATCTGTATCCTCAGAGGATGCTTATGGGACAGATAATTTCCAACCAGAAGCTAAACTCATGGTAGGTAAACAATGGAAGCTCAGGCAGTGTCATCGCGGCGTATCTCGTAAGCGCTGATGGTTTCAAAGCACAGCTGCCAGCAGGGTGACCAAGAGGAAGCGCTGGCCAACTGAGATCTCTTTATTTGCCAGTGCATGAATTATGCATGCTGACCCACAGGGTTCATCCACGGAGGTGCCATTATCACGCTAATAAACGGGGGGAGCTGGCCGAGGTGCTGAAACTACTGGCGAGAATGAAAATATTGTCCCAAAGACAGCATTTCCTAGTCAACGTCGCAGGCACATTTTGTGGCTGTCTGATTTTGAAACCTTGTTATTGCTGACATCAAACCTGGGATTTGGGGGTTCCCCCTGCCACATCCCACAGTGATGAGTTTGCTCTAATCCAATTTCCTGTGTCCAGGGAACTTGAAAGTGATCACATGTCCCACGCAGCAGCCTAAGTGACAGCACTCAGCGGGTTCAGAGATTGGTGGGTTGCTTTACACGCTCTCAAACGATGGTGAAGAATGTCACGTTGACTTTTCACAGTCATGTGTGACCTCTTGCTCTAGAAATTACAAGTGACACTTAGGGCACTCATATCAGGCACTTATTTTTAATAAGAGAAGCCACCCCAAGCATAAAGAAGGGGCTTCTGTACGTTCTCAAAATTCAGCGAGTACCTTTGGGCAGTTGATTCATAAAAGCTTTAGGCGTTAGGAACAGTCAGCGTCACTTGCATGCCCCATACACACCAGCCTGGGTGAAGTTTCTAGGTGATGAGCATAATTCACAGAATCAAAATATAAAGGAAGAAGCCGTGTTTCCTTTGTTTTTTGAGATTAGGTAACTACAGGAAAAATGAGGCCATGTGTGTTGGCTGTTTCATTTGTCCATGCGCACGGCCAAGCTAGGGTCTGGATGGGGGTTTCTTCCTCCTGATCATGTCTCTTCCAAATGTACTTCCCCCAGCTCCTGGTATCGTCACGTCTCTCAGACTTGTGATTACACGTCTCACCACCTGCTTCCCTTGTGACTCCAGAAGTTCTGTGGCGATTTCCAAGCAAAGCAATTAAGTTCTAATTTGAGTTCTAACGATATACCTAGGTCTTATCTCTCCAACTATACTTGTATCCCACATAGAAAAATGCAGTAAGTGGCCCATTGATACTTGGTGAATAACTGAATGGCTGAAGAATTTGCTGATGGGGTGCACTGTCTTAGGAAATTGTGCAGTTGGTGGAGTCAGTCCCATGGCCGAGGCACTCTCACTTGAATGTTTTCAAAGTTGCAAGTCCTGCTTTAGAGGTTAGCTTTGGTTTTCAAAAAGTGCAGAAGATCACGCAGAGCTAAATTTCCTAATGAGGTAGTAAGTTTGCTGATTACATCAACTGTCACCAATCAGGCCTACTAAATGGGAAAGAGATGCACATTCCTGAGGGGCCAGGCACGTAAAGATCATATAAGAGGATTCTAAAGTCTTCTGAACAATGTCCTCACATAGCAGTGAGCACTCAGCTCCCAGGGAAGAACAATACTTGCTTGGGCACACAAATTATGGTGTGTGAAGAAATTAGGCTCCTTTGTAGCATAGCATCACGCTGGCCACATTTTAGGTCTTTGCTTATGGATTTGATCAGATCCAAACAGACATTTGATTCTATTACAACCTGGGGGGCAGGGTGTCTGCCCGCTCAGGTGAAAGGGTCCCAGAAAGGCCGGAGTCATCATCTAGCTGTTTCCTCATCTGGTTTCTACTTGGAAACGGTTGTGATGGTCTGTCTCAGCGGTGAGTGCCCCGAGGACAGACGCCCTCTCACTATCTGTGGGAACATGTGCCCCCTCTCCCCCCATGCACACCTTTCACGCCGTCCGGGATGGTCCAGGTCCCAGCCCACATCTCGGACCTCCACGTCAGCTAGCCACGAAGGCCGGCTGTTTCTAGCCCCCAGAAAGTAAATAAGAGTCCTCTGTCCACAGACAGGTTCCCTGAGAAACTGTGGTCATTTTAGCCTAGTTTTTGCACAGCATGGAAACTTAATAACCATTATTAATGGACTGCTATGCAAAGTTGTGTTTCCAGTCAACAGAAACAAGAGGTGGAATTTCTCCCACTACAGAGAATAGGTGAGAATGACGGATGGCTCCGCCTCAGAGATATTGAGTCAGAGTCAGGGGAACAACAGCAACATCACCGTCATCATCACCAACATCACCACCACCATCAACAGCAATATCATCACCATCATCATCACCACCATCATCACCACTATTATCACCATCAACACCGTCAACAATATTACCATCACCACCACCACCACCATCATCATCACCATCACCCTGCCCCGCCCAGGCCCTGCTGAACAGCTTTATATATAATAAATAATTCAGTCTTGACCGCAACCCTGCAGGAGT